CAGCTTTACAAGATCGGGCGTTTCAAACTTTAGCGGAACGGACGGCGATTCTGTGTCAGAAGGGTCCTTCTGGTTTTCCTGAGCATGAAGCATCGCGTGATAGAAGTCTTCCTTCTCAGAGCAATTATCAGAGAAGAGAAAGAATTGCTTTGGAGTTGCAGTGCTGTCATCATGCAGTTGTTGGACCAGTCGAATGCCTAGCTTCGTAAGTACTGTAAGGGGCAATAAGAGAGTGTTTGCAAAAGCGTACAATTTCTCTTGATCCAGAGCTCGCCCTCAGGTATGCGCTCTCCACCTCCGTATATGTCCACCTGGTAGTGAGCTAGCGAAATGACATGACGGACTTCGATTTGATCTTCGTTGTCGTAGAGCATGAGGTGCCCAAGGCTGGTATTCAGTCAGCCCGTAACTTGGAGGTGCGGTTTTGTGCAGCCAACATACCGCAAGACGACATAGAAGACATTCCGCGCCTTCTTGTTCTTGTTATTTGCCGCATCTATTGTCGGGCTTGTAGTCTTGTTGCGATCGAAGATGCTCCTGTACATGGACTGGTAGACGCTGGGACTCTCGACCGCCACGACGGTACCTGCAGGAGTGGTTCGATCCGGAGGCTTGCCGTTAACGCCGCCCGGCACATACTCCCGACACACAGCAAAGTACCCAGCGCAGACATCCGGCTCATGTGTCCTTCCTTTTAGCTTCTCCAGTATCTCGTCGTCTATCGCTGCCCCTGGGTCTGTGTCGTCCCCTCCTTTGCTATTCACGGACCCGTTCGATGTTCTGCGGGGTTGTGAAGCTTGTCCATGTTGGGTGGAAGCCGAATCGAAGCTGTCGTGTTCAACGGGCGTAGTACACCAGAACCATGCAATTGTAAGAAGAGCAGGCAATAGGGTCAGTCCTCCTACAAGATAACCCCATATGAAGATGTTGAATACGGTGCCATACCCCCAATCCCCGCCCATGTTGCGTGACGTGTTATGCTATAATCCAGACCATCCCTCGCCATGTAACGTATGCGGCGCGAAGGTCAGCGTGTGGTATAGGAGGGCAACGTGTTCTGAAGCATCGACCGGAAGTGTAACCTCGAGTAGGGACCCGGGTAAATCGGCGCGTCGAGGCAGGGTGGTAGCGAGTGGCGTTGGGGAAAGCAATATAGCGGGCGGCAATGTTCAAGGGCTGGCTGGGGAGATCAAGTCAAGACAGAATCAAGCAGCGAGCCCCTTTGGACAAACAAGACTCTCAAAGTGAAGCACTAGCCACGGTAGTCATCTGACGCGAGGCTGACCGTTGGAGCTAATAAGCTATGCCATGGCCCATAGCATGCTATCCACGGGGCCACGCCGGAGACTTAGTGCTCCACATGTGACGATGCAGGTCGCCGATCGGCGCTAAGCGAACCCTCCCGCTGAGCTATGACGGCATCTCTGACATTGCTTCCGTCCCATCTCCTGCGAACACGCGCCTCAGGTACAAATGTAGTGTATACATATACACATGTACATAATATATGTATATGCATGCATACACACACACACCCCCAGGCTTGCGATAATCCAGAGAATTCACGCGCGACACGTCCCTGAGCGGTAAGTGACCAAGCGCCTCATGTGGCGTCACGGTTGGTCAGCTATGGCGGGGTCCAGCTGATAGCACCCTTATCTTGGAAGGGCACATGCAAAGTTATTTCTTTTGGTTCTCGACTGCGTCTCCAAAACATTCAGGTACTTCACCACTTCAATTGCTCAGTTGAGATATACTCATATCTTCAAGGCGGGCCCGGTGCACTAACATGGTCTACCCAGAAAGTCATATCTCTACGCTAGCCAGCCGTACCTGTACCCATAGAGCAGTCCCTGGGGCTTTTGTCTAAAAGAAATACAAGCAATAGCCAAGGCTAGCAGAAGCCGACATGTCAACCACAGAATCCCAGTCCTACACCCCTGACATACCCTCGGAGCCTGTCACCAAAACCACCGACAACATCCATGTAGAGCTTACTCCCCACGACCTCGACTCTCTCGCCGCCATGCGCTTTGTCCGCTCTCCATCTGCAGGTGCGACTGTGCTCTTCATAGGCACAACGCGCGACTCCTTCAACGACCAGCCTGTCTCGTCATTATCCTATACGTCATACGCGCCCCTCGCCATCTCGACCCTGTTCAAGATTGGTACCTCTATACTTGCCAAGCACTCTTGTACCAAGATCGCCATCATCCACAAACTAGGCGAATGCCCAATTGGTGAGGAAAGTATCGTGATTGCTGTCTCCGCCCCACATCGCCAAGCGGCGTGGAGGGCAGGCGAAGAGGCGCTCGAAGAGACAAAGGATAGAGCAGAAATATGGAAGTTAGAAAGATTTGAAGGTGGTGAAGGTGTTTGGAGAGCAAACCGAGACGGCCAAAAGGGTGTCAAAGTGGGATAGAGTGGTGTTCTGGACTTTGTATACATGAGAGCACGCCTCTAATCTTACAGCGCAAGCTTGAATGATATGTACATAACTTGTTCGCATCTCACCAGATTGCACGTGATGCTTGGATTAAAAGAAGATATCTCTTGCATACGAACCAGTGCCTCGATTACAGACTCAGAAGGAACAGTCCTCCCCCCTCGGCGTTACCGGAGATAACCCACATGCCGTCATTGCTTGTCAGACGCCCACGTTGAGGCAGTAGCTTCACGAATCATGCAAGACACACTGCAGTTGAATACCGCCTTACCTGCGCCATCATGGGTCAAGGAGAGTCGCACGAAGCGCCTCGGCTAACACTAGGTATGCATCCACCAGACTCTCCGCTCCCCAATCTAACACCAGCCAGAGCAGCTCTCCCAAGCCATCGCTGAGCGATTCGCACAGAAAAGCTTCACGCCTCTCGAGCTCTACTGCTTCAACTCTGTATTCCGCTCGCTAGCTGACACGCAGTCTGGGGTGCACTACTGGAGCGAGACTACACTATGTCGATTCTTGGAGCTTCCCGACGCGCTGGGCGTGGGCTCGGTCGTCTTTCAGATGGCGAGTTACCTGGGAGCCTTTCCGCTGCCGAGTCAGGCCCCCGCCATTCTAACACATGAGGCGCTGCTCAAGGCTGTCACGATATTGACAGAGCGATACGGAGCTGTGGTCAAGAAGAGAGGGAGGGAGATTTGGTTGAGGGAGATTTATCGCAGCTTGGCGATATATGACAAGGGGATACGGTCGAGCGTAGAAGAGAAGGAGAAAGAGATGGCCAAGGATACGGGGAATCAGAGCGGCAGTAACTTGGGGTTTGCGGTCGATGCACCAGAAGGAGATGAGGGAGAAGAAGAGGACGAGGATGATGAGCTGGTGTTGGCTGCGCTCGAGTCCATGGATGCGATTGATGCATTCAAGCAGGGAGATCACACCAATGTCCACCACTCCATCATACCGTCAGACAACTTCTTGAAACTGGTGGAGCTGTTGCTGCTCATTGCGCCGATAGATGCACAGCAGAGTCTCTCGAGTTTGGCACCGAATCTATCAGACGACAGAGTCGAAGAGCTTCGGCACGCTGCATATGTTATACTATCGTCGTTTGGCGTCGAAGACCATCCAGGAGTCACATATCGCGTCTTCAACGCTGTCGTCTCAACAACACTTCCCTACCTCTTCAACGGGCTCAATCCACTATTCGAGCACTTCCTTTTTGCAAAAGACTTTGACCTTTCCAAACGCAAGCCAGGCTCCACATCACCAACCCAAGAGAATCACCCCGTTATCCCACCACCAAAAGCAGAACTGGAGCCAGTCCTCCGCGAACCAGGCGAGATACTAAATCTAACCACCTTGAGCCAACTCTCCTTTTTCATCAAAGGCAGCAACCTCTTCCGACGCCTCCGCCCCCTCTACAGCGGCAACACCCACGGCTTCAGCATGGGCTCCTTCGAAAAACAAGTCTTCAACTGGCGCGCCCCCACCATCCTCCTTGTAAAAGGCCGTCTCCTCCCCGCCACTCCCTCCAGTACCCGCGAACGCGCACTCCAAGACATGCTGCCACCCAAGCGCCACGCAGATAGCATCATACCCGGCTCACCAAACCAGACCCTCATCTACGGCGCATACATCCCTACCCAGTGGAAACACACCGGCAAATCTTGCTTCGGCGACTCCACCACCCAACTCTTCCAACTCTCACCTACCCACGACGTCTTTACCGCGTCGTCGTATAGTACAGATTACACCTACTTTAACAAATCGCCAACACAACCCGCAGGCATCGGTCTCGGGACCCCAGTGCCCGCTCAATCAGCTTCCTCCTCATCATACTCTTCTCACTCCGTCTTCCGCCCCGGTCCTGTCTCCTTGCATCTCGACGACGCGCTAGAGTTCGCCATTTTTACGCATTTGGCCGAGGGCGGAGGCTCGTTTCTTCCGTCGAAACTCCCGGCTAGAAGGGGAAAGGATTGGCAGGATCGATTTGAGATTGAGTGCTTGGAGGTTTGGGGGTGTGGTGGGGACGAGGTGGCGGAGCAGCAGCGGAAGGAGTGGGCGTGGCAGGAACGAGAGGCTGAGGCGAGGAGGAGGATTAATTTGGGGACGGGGGATGTGGAGATGGATAGGGAGTTATTGAGGATGGCGGGGATCATTGGGGGTGAGAGGAGTGGGGGAAGTATGGGGTAAGATGGGAGGGTTTTGTGGTGGGTATTTGGGAAGAGGTTGGTGGTATGAAGTAATGATACAAGTAGACGTTTTGTTTTCATTCAAGAAGGGATAGATGTTAAAACTTGTATTTCAGTTTCTCACAAATCCACCCACCTTCTCATGCAATACTCGAGTAATTCCATATATTCCATCGAATACCCTTTGTTTTCAAATATTTCCAGAAAATAAACGCCCATAATGCCTCTAGCACATGTATATCGTACACCCTCTCTTCCTCATCATTCATCCATCTCATCCTTGCCTGCTCAACCATTAGCCTTCTCTTCCCTCCCTCTCCCCTCAAGGTATTTAAAAAAAAAAGGACCCCCCCCCAAAAAAAAACTCACCTCTGCTTATGCTTCGGATTCTTGGAACAAATAATATACACATATCTTCCTTTCTTGCGCCTCACGCTCTTACACCCTTCACACAATTTCTTAACCGAGCTCCGGACTTTCATGCCGCGCGTTTGTCCGAATCCCAACCCATTGAACCGCGAGGCCAAATCCCCAATTCCACCACCGGTACTGCTGCGGGTTTGTAGTGTGGGACGTGCGAGGAGGCTTGGGCGCAGGCAATTGCAGCTCGGCGTGTGGATGTGGGTGCGTTGCGTGAGGCGCGTGGAGAGCGGGGCGCGGGGAGGGAGGGCGCGGCGGAGGGTGAGGGTGAGGGCTTTGGAGAGCATCTTTTTTGCGCGGTGAGATGGGGAGGGGTGCGAGTGGGTGGCGTGGCGGAGAGGGAGGGAGTGAGGGTGGAGTGGTGGTTGTGGAGGTGTTTGCGGAAAAATGTGCCAAGGCGCTAGTGGGGGTATTGGGGGACTGAGGGGATGGAGGGTTGTTTGGATGGAGGTTGGGATTTGAATGGTTTTTTCTTTCCTTCTTGGATTGTATATTTTGGTTTTTTGAGGGAGACTCTCAGCGGGGAGTGTTTTTTTTGTTCTTGGGAATGTCTGGGTACATTGGTGGGTGGGTTTGATGAGGTACATACTTCACTCCTGGTGCTTGAACTGTTGACAGCTCATGTTCGAGCATGAGTTCGTGTGAACAGTGATATTCGCATATAGACAAAAAATCCATTATATATAAGAATACCCGTGTTGCTCTGAATTATGTCGGACAACTTATACATACGAAGTATTCCAACGTAAGAAAGAATATAACAAAACTCCTACTCCATCACAACAACCGAACTTGTCAAAGGCGTGATAGATGAGACGCTGAAAATTTCATCCCATCTTCGATGAAGATATATGTCATCCAAATACCAATAATATTCTTGCCCGCAATTCGATTTCCTGGGTATCAACTGCGGTTGAACGAATTCTCACTCGCCGTCTCCTACTATATCCCGTGCCGCATCCTTCACTCTCTCACTTGAATCAACAAGCTGCCGTGCCGCCGTCTGAATTGATATACTTTCCCGCCGCATAGTCTTGACCGCGCTTTCGAGTGTTTGTGTGCGCGAACGAAGCCGATTGATTTCCGTTCGGAGAACATTAATGGTCTCGGTTTGCGACGAAGACGAAGGAGCATGATTCTGGGGCGTCGATTCTCCCGGTACTGGGGGGTAGATCGGTGTTGCATGGTGTTCTGAGCCGGGTGTTGGCGTGACGTGATGCTGGTCACCAGTCACCATGGCTTCTTCCAGCACGCGAATCCGCTGCTCCAACTCCGTTCTCTCTACGTCCCATTTCTTCTTGTCATCTACTCCCTGGGACTGCAGGCGATTTGCCATCTCCATGATGCGCATGTATTGGGCTCCGTTCGCAATCAGCTGGCGTCGAGCTTCATCCCGGCTCTGCTGCAGCTCCTCGACTTGTCCTTCCAAGGCTACAACTTGACTTTGCAATTTTTCCTTTTCGTCTGTCAAACTGTTGATCTCACAGTCACTGACTTCAAACTTCTTTTCAAGAGTGGCACATTTTGTTTTCTGACGTTCGAGCTTCTGAAGAAGGTTGTCGTATTCGCGTTGGAGAGTTCGGAATTCTAGCGTCTTGATGGTAACCTGGTGTTGCAAGTCTTGCAAGAGAGTATTATGTGCTGAAGCATGGGCGGATGTGATGGGCGGAGTCATTGATGACAGGCTTTGAGAACTTGAGAAGTTCAGCGACGATGGCGAAGGCAATACGGTTGGGTGTACGGGCTGTGTAGCCTGTGTTGGTGATTGTGGAAGCATGTACATTGCTCCAGAGGACGCTGTTGTTTGCTGTGGCGAGCCCCCGGCAGCTATTGATGCTATGCCATAGGGATTTCTTCTGGAGTCCTCTGGAGATGCATTAGAACGCGTGAAATATCCATAATCATGGTGAACTGGGTACGGTCTTCTCAGCGGAGACTGTTCCTCGCGTTCCTCCAGATGGTGCTGAGCTCTCCGCATATTTGGCGAGTCCTCTGGTGGAGATTGTGATCTTGTGTTATGTATCGGTTCCTGCTCCAAGTGCTCCTGCAGTCGTACATTACCCTCATGCACGCGATCGAGAGCCCATTGCAGTAACTCTTCAACGTTGGCGTGCCTGGAGGTGGGTGGCTATTGGAGCGCATCAGCATTGCCATGTCTTCAACAGAGGCTGACGCTACTTATCAGCAAGTGTGAATGCGTATTGGAACGCTTACCTGGGACGAGACTTGTGGCTCTGTACGCGTCAGATCATTGAGTTTATGAACTAAGTCGCCCAGGCCTGTAGCAAGTTTGTGCATCAAAGAGCGTGAATTTGAGCATACCTGGCCCCTGCAATCAGGTGGACAACAAGTTACTGGCCTTGGTGCAGACACCTGCTGAGGAATAGGATCAGGATCCACGGCCCGCTTGGCGCGTGGCGGGCTAGCACGCAGTTCAGGAATCAGCGAAGGGATTGTTGAGAGCTCTGTAATCGTTTCAGCTACGAGTACGGAGGAGCGAGTCGCAACTCCGTTCTTCGAATGGATGGAGAGCACCACGCCAATAGTCATCATAGCCTATTCCCCAGCTTCTCGGCTAGCATAATTTACATCTAGTAAAGAAAGACAATGGTACCTGTGTGGTGTTTGTGTGCACTCTGCCTTGGATGATGTTCGAAAACATCGAAAAGAGAATGAGAGCCACGTTCAGATCTACTCAACTCGAGTGGCGGCGGTGGAGGCGAGCAATGTGAGGCGATAATGACAGGGCTAGCTGAAATACTGTATGAAGAGGCGAGAAGCGGTGGCAGTATCCGACAGTCTAGAGCAAGGCTGTCGCGAGCAAAGAAGCCGGCTTGTGGCGGGAGCGGGGAAACCTGCTGGGCAAGGGAGGCAGTCAGGATCGAGCTGCGACGCTTTGGTTGAACGCCAACGCTTTCTTCGTTCTCCCATGGTCGTTTGTCGCCCGCACGAGAATCCATGGATATACCTGGCCTTGTATTCACCTTCTACGAGCGGATGCTGACGCCGCCTCGCGCCATTCGGACTTGCGATTTACTTTTTAGGTATTAGTAGTGATCAATTCTAAAGAACATAACAGGTCTTCTCAAGGCCCTGCAGGTGCTGAGAGATTACTAATAACAGGTGAAACGCGTGCGTATAGGCCTGGAAAAAGGTGACGAGCGCTGCGCATAAACTTAGCAGCAGTCTGGGTATGGAGCCTGTTCCGGAACGACACCAGCACTACAACGGAAACACATGTAGATAATCGAACGTAACGCACATTGAAGATGCAGTAGTACATTCAGTGTGGCGGACTAACTGGAGCGAAGGCCACTACCGCGAACTGTCAGTGTACCCAAAGTGCACCGCCAGTACGTAAGCTAATAGTCAACGCCACTGCTGTACCATACCCTGGTTGTACTCATAGAACTCGCGAGCAGAAGAAGCCAAATCTGTGCAAAAGAGGCCACTAAAATAACAAAAGTGCTTAGGTGGACGAGCTGGTCACGAGGAAGGGGGGCCGATGCAACACTTTGAATCCGCTGGCCTTGGCGACAACATGCCGAGTGGTGCAACTAAAGTCCGGAAAGTGGTAAAATTCCAGCAAAGGCAATGACAGCAAACACCGAGATGATGTTGCGTGGGGATGAGTGCTGAGTAAGATGGGTGGATAATTGTTGGTAATGATGAGTGCCACCTTGTACGAGGTTAGCGCTACTTAGTCAGTCTTAAACAAACAAGGCCTCCCGAAGTCTTGTCATGCCATTTATGGAAGCTAACCGAAAATCGCTGCCGTCTGGTCTTTGCTGCACCTGCGTATTCCTCAAAAGATAACCGTGTCGGTAATTTTCCAACCTCAGAGGCAGAGGTAATACATTGACAATGTCCAGCTAGCTATACCCGAATCCTTGCCGCTTGGTGTGTACTACAGCCATGTTGGAATGTGTCATGGATAACCATACCTGGCCACGATAGTACAGCGCAACAACAGTGACTAATCTTCCTTGAGCAAACATGCCGCGGGAGCCGCTTGATGGGCGGCGGGTACATGTGCGCATACTCGGGTACACATGAGGAAGAGCCCTATGGATGTTTTCCATCTAGCTTTGGCCGTCCATCGTCTCAATCTCTCCAAGCCGTCATCTCCCCTCCGCTATCCGATGCATGCATGCTGACGTCTCGCGCAATGGTCCGAAGACGGTCTTCCACCCAAGTCTTCTCCCTTGAAACGACTTCAGTCTCAATCTTCTGCATTATCTGCAGCTCATCTAGGATCCCACGCAAAATGGTCGTGCATGCGTCGACCATGGATGCAATGCTCGATCCGGGTGTCGGTAACGCCAGCCTCTCTAAATCATTAGCGAATACGGTTAACTTCCGGATCAGCGCTGCAGTTTCCGCCTTCCATGAATCTCCGAGACCTTCGATCGTTCCAAGGGCATTGCTTCCACTAGCATGACCTCCCCGGGCAGACCGTATCTCTTGCACCCACGAAATCCATTGCTCAAAATCTACTACGAGACGCTGGAGACGACCGCCTGGCTCGACCAGCGATGGAAGCTCATGAAGAGGTTCTGAGAGAATCTGTACATGCTCGACTAGACCTGCCGTCGAGCCACCATTGCTCCATTCAAGTAAGGATTGGAGGTTCCTCTGTTCTTGACCAGCGCGTTCATTTTCTAGCATGACCTGATGCAAACTAGCAACCTCGTCAAACTTGGAGTGCAAAACACGCTTTGCACTCTGCTCCCAGCGCTGACTCACGTCCGCAGATGACCGATGTAAGAGATGGAGTTGAAGTAGGTCGGACTGTAGACTGGCTATCTCGGGAGGAAGTGAATGGGATACAGGCTGAGGAGCGGGGTTGATGAATGACGCAGTCGGGGCTTTGCCGGTCTTGCGTGGTGTGAAGTGCTGTTGAAGGGTACTGAAAGCGGGCCGACTGGTCTTCTTAGTTTCATCTGCAGCTGCCTCTTTCCGCTTTGGCTGGATCACAGAAGATTCTTCAGACTTGGATGTCACACCACTACCGGCAACAGCAGCTGGTGCATCGGACCTAGTCCTGACACTCGCCGTGCGTCCTAGTCCTGTGGTCCTTGCCGATATTCTGGAAGTGCTAGGTACTGTATCTACAGAGGCATTGCTGGCCTTTGTAATACGGCTTGGTGCTGTGGAAATAGATTTGGGACGCTCTGTGCCGGTAGTTGCCTTTGCAAGATCCCGTCTCCCGGTCGATATAGTACTGGTAGACTGTGTACGAGCGTGGCCGCTCAGTACTGAGGACTGGCCTATCTGAGATGTAGCAATTGGCTTCCGTAATGATTGAGACCGGCCTAGTCCAACCTTTTGAGGCTCAGCAAGCTTGCTCACTGAAGTAGGTGGACGTATAGAGCGGGAGCTTGTCTTGTCACCTTGACCAGCCGATTGGGATGAAGGAGTACCATGTTGGTACACTGCCCGTGGACGGAGCTGTCCTGGCGCCGTGCCTGCAGCCTGGTCCTCTTGTGCTGACGTTGCAGCCTTTGGCGGTGACTGGGCATCACTTGAGCTGGGTCTCGTGTCCTCGGCCTCAGGCTCAGAAGGTTCCGGAAGGATACTTGAGCGAGTGTTATATCTGTGCTGCCCTGGCTGTGGAAGCAAGCTGCGAGGCTTCGTACCCTCTGCATCACTCTGCAATGAGGCGACAGTACCGGCATTCTGGCGTCTGTTAGGTTCTGCCAGGCCATAAGGCGAGACTGGAAATTACCCGGGACCGTGGAGGTGCATTACTGATCCTTCCTATTTGTGAGACAGGCTTAGCACTCATGTTGACGCAGACAAAGTTATCGTCGTGGATGAGCTGGGCTGGTGTTCGTTGTCGAGCAAGTTGCAAACACACGAAACATGGGGATGTTGACGGGGCTAAAGCTCGGGGCATCTAGCGCTAAGCCTAAAGGGGCCTGGGACTGTTATCGATAGCTGTTCAGGTATGACGATGGAAGCAGAGGGCTTGAGACTAAAGTGAATAATGCCGTAGATGGTTCGTAATCTATTGTACCTAAGCTGACTGTCTGACACAATGCTTACTTCGTGATGCGGTCGTCCAGCTACATGATGGATTTCCTGTCGCGAAAGCACAACCGCATGCAACTCTGAGTCGGGGGTCACGCACATGCAATTGCAAAGAGGTCCCGCCTTTGCCGCTGCAAGCGACGTAGCACAGAGTGAGAAAGCATACTTTGCAAACCTCATGCTCACAAGCTGCCGCGGCGAGCTGGAAAAGACACACCCTCGATAGCAGGGTAGTCAACGAACCAGCTTACCCGCTCTCCGCCCTTGTGGTTCACCAGACCGCACGGCAACTGCTGTCCCTCATCGGTATCAAATATCTGGCGCATGATGTCCTTCTTTCCTCCGCCAGTCGCCACAAAGGCAATCTTCAGTCCGTGTTGCGCAACGGGGAGCGAGATGGTGATGCGTTTTGGCGGAGGCTTCGGAGAATCGGAAATGGGGAGAACCCAGGCTTCGGTTTCGCGGAGAAGGTCGGAGCCTGGGAACAAGCTGCAAGTGTGTCCGTCGGGTCCGCAGCCCAGTAGAAGCAGGTCGAACAATGGTAGCTTTACGCTGTCGCGGGCAGCAAAAACGCTGACAAGCGTCTTTTCGTACTGGTCGGCCAACTCTTGTACATCGTCGAGATACTTGACGTCGATTGGGTAGACCTTGGGTGTGCCTAGTTCTTGCGGTATCTTATCCAGAAGCTCCTCCTTGACCAACCGGTGGTTGCTGTCTTCATGGTCGAGGGGCACGGCGCGCTCGTCGGCATAGAAAATTTCCCATTTATCGAATTGGACCTTGCCTTCGCCATTGGTCTCCTTCAAAAGCGCTTGCGCCAGCGTCTTGGGCAGCGAGCCGCCGGAGACTGCGACACGGAAGACATGATGACGGTCAAGGGCGGCATTCTGGGCATCGAGGATGTAGGCGCGCAGGCTTGGGGCAAGCTCGGCGGCACTCTGAAAGGCGTATAGATTCGGAGGCTTTCCCATTGTGCAAAAGTGTGTGTATGTGAGTGTGTATAGTGTTGGTGGAGTGAAGTTTGCAGGCACGCGGTGGAGGGGTTGGCCTGGTTGGTGGGGCTATGTGCCGGTATTTCGTGTAGCGGGCCAGTGACGATAGTGACGTGCGCAGCTGTTGATTGACTAGTTTCTTCGATTCTACGTAAAAACAAAACGGAGAGAAAAGATGAAGGCGATAAAGAAGAAGGGTTGGGGGACCGCCTACGAGATGAAATCGAGGTGCAGTCGGCCCTCGTAGCCGGCGTCCATTTTGAGCAACCCGTGCAGCTATTTCCGTGGCAGACGTCGCATTGCTCTCCGGCCTGTCATGGCGCGATTTGCGCGATTATTGAGGGCTACCGCAAGGCGCCAGAACAAAACATTCAAGAGGCCCTGATGAAAGGATGGAAAGAACAGCAACAGAAGTATACTTTTCTACAGCAGACAGGTGAGCACTGCACATGACCGTCACCGTCAAGCCACCAATGAACAACGTTTGGACAACGGGAGGCATTTAGGCCTAGCCCATGATGCAGTCATGTGATTGTCCCCGCTACTCTACATCAACACATGTGCACGACGTATATGTATGTACTCTATTGAACCGGGGAGACATGTCCAAAACCGGTGCATTAGAGGAAACGGGTGTGAATGGGCTTGCATACATTCTGCTGTACGCCAGCTCGTAGTCAGCGCATGTGTGCCCATTTGGCGGTAGGCTAGAATGAGAAAGAGAGGGAGTTGCAACTGTGGCTCCTTTGTTTGCTTATTCACTCTACTGCATGTCGAGCAAAACTCTGGTGCATCGTGTACCAGACATTTCTGAGCACGTTTGAGTACGCTACTATACCCAAGACATGGTCCAGAGGAACGATGTGCATTGTGCATGTTCGAACCACAAAGAACCACGTCTACCTCTTGACTTGCTTTTTTATGACCTGAGAAAAAAAGCAAGAGCATATTCCTGGCCGGGAATAGGCAAATTGGCCAAGACTATGGTGTTTGCTAGGACCCGTCAACTGCCGGAAACTTTGTGTTAATGCAAGACTCAGATCGGACCATATGTAGTTTCGATGGGAGCGCTCTCGGTGGATAGTGGCTAGGCACGAAAGAAAAAGCCTACCAGTTCGGACAAGGCGAGGCAGATCCTGTACCAAAAACATACAAGGCGGTCCCATGCACAGACTTTTCAAGGGAAAAGGGGCGCAGAGGACGATAACGGGCGACGCTCCAATGAGTGGTTGCCACAAGATGGTGCGCTGTTTTGCTTTCGACCAGGTGGAAGTTATTCAACAGAGGCATTATTGCACAGGGCATGCAGGGCTAGGCCATGCAACGCACGGTTGAAGGCGCACCCTGAGGAGTGTGATTGCGACCCAAGGTCAACTGCTGAGAGCGCCTTTATGCAGGTCCACGTCGACATTCAAACACGCAACGAGCGAGTATCACTGCGCAGAATCCCTCCGAGATGTGAGGCAAGGTTTAGACCGGCGGCGCCATGGGTAGAGTGCCGTTTGTGCCGTGCTCTTTGAAACGCCGTGGCAGACAGCCGGGGGACATGTCTGGCACGGTTGCATGTTTGATGAAGCGGTGAAATATGGAAGAGGATTGATCCGTTTTGAGCAGGACAGGGTGGTTAGGGGATCCTGCATAACATGGAGCAGCGGGCGGGTAGGTAGGTAGGTAGGTGCAAAAGCTGGGGGAGATGTGTATGCAAGCAATGGATGGGTAGAGAAGCGCGTCCAGTCTTGACTTGATTGCCTGCTGCTAAGGCAGTGCTAAGTAGGCATAGTGCAGGGGCCTGGCATGTTCAAGGTGGTTCCTGCAACGTGACCTGGTGTTCACGGCCGTGGATCTAGACCGCGAACCAACGGTTCGGCCCGCTAAGAGACCGACGATGGGCTCGCAACCACAGGCTGCGAGAATAGCGGTCGCAAAGTCCGCGGTGCAAACTGGAATCCATGGCTAGGAGAGAAACTACCGCATGGGGAACGGGTTGTGTCGACGGGCAGGTGGTGTTGGGCGAAGGGCCGGTGGGCTCGGCAAGCGGAGAGGAGGGGGTGTGGGTAGCAGTACAGTAGTAGACATACGCGCGTTACTCCGGAGCAGTGGGCGAAGCGGGCGTTCCTGGTTGCGGCATGTGTGTGAGTTGATTAAGTCTGTTTTGTATAAGGATGCGACGGATGGCTGCGGTCGGTGGTTGCGCAAGCCGTGGGTTGCTGAGCAACAGATAGGCAGCGGGGGGGGGCTGTGCCAGGCACGCATACGCGCATTCAGTCCGCCAGTCCGTCAGTCAGTGGCATAGATGGTGTGGAGTAAGTAGTGTACACAGTCAGCCGTAAGCAGCCGGTAATACGTGACGGCGACGGCGACGACGTGGTCCGGAGGGCGAAACGCCCGTGGCAGTGGGTAGCGCACTGGGGCGGGAACAAGCTGCAAGCGTGCACATGTTCAGTTTCAGTTGTGGATGCGATCAGAGGTAGCGGCGATGTGGTTGATCTCGATGGCGACTAGCAGACTAGCAGAGGGTGCTAGCAAAAGAGTAGTAGACAGCGTGAGTGAGTGGGTGTGTGTGGGCGCGGGGACACGGCGGACATAGGGCAGGTGGGCATTCGGGGCCCATTGGGCGGCGGTGCAAGGGAGGCCGCGATCGAGACCACACCCTGGATCGCCAGTTGCACGCCCTCGCTCAGCCGGCAACCCAAGGCAGCCAGGCCGTGTGAGTTGCCCTTGGTCGCCCTTGGTCGCCCTTGTGCTTGGGAGCGCCCGGCACTGTCGCAGTCGCATGCCCAGCCACATGCCAATCGCTGCTCGTCTGGCCCTGGCCCATGTGCATGGCCCGATGTGTTGTGCGAGCATATATCTACCCGGCTGCGATCCCTCGTACTGTCCGCTGATTCACACCCCCCGTCATCCAAGAGCACAAAGACATCCACCTCGACATACCATGACGGCACATCACCTCGCTTCAGACGACCTGTCCACAACCTTATCCACCACCCCGTCCCTCTGCTACTTCAGCATCCTGCCCGCCGCACACTTTTCTGCAGAGACGCCCTCGACCAGCCCCGTGTCCGAGTACCAGGCCTGCACCCCTTCGGACCCCGCCAACCCACTGCTGGCCTTCCGTCCAGGCCGTCTATCGTTCATGTCCGCCGACGCCGACGCCTCGCGTCTGCTGCAACTGCAAACCGACGCTTCCCACCGGCCCTCGCCAGATCCTCTCCAGCCACAGCCTCGCGCCTCGAGTGCCTCGTCCAACAGCTCGGCCAGCTCGGCGTCCAGTTCCAGCTACACACCCCCATCAACGCTGTCCTGTTGCCGCTGCCGCCGCCAGTGCCTGGCCAACATGTACCAGATTGGCACCAACCGCTACTACTGCAGCCACTGCGCTAGGATGACTGGCTACAGCGCTGGCTGAAGCTTGTCCCCTGGCCGCCCCACACTGTCCGCTACAAGTACGCCGACGCGGCTAGGCCGCTGCTCCACTGCCTGGATACATCCATCCATCCATCCATCCATCCACCCACCCACCTGCATGGCTCGACAGCTCCTTTACCACAAACACTCTTACATGCACACACACACACACGACTGTGCTATCAAGGCGCCCGCCACTACTGCGACTATCACTATCACCCATCACTGACA